GCCGCCCAGAGTGGTCGGAAGACCAGATGGGCGGGGTATAAATGAAATAAATAAATACATAAATTTATAAATAAATAGCAGTATACCTTACAGTGATAGCAATAAGCACAATTAAATACGTCGGTCAAAATAGTAATTCTTTTGAGAAAGGAACAAATGAAAAATGGATCTGAGGACCAGTGCCTCTGAACATGCAGAAGAACCATCCCAATTTTGATATTAAGTTCTTTTATTTATTTCTTTTTTTAAATTAACACCCAGTGCTATGTATATCTACTCATTAAAATATATTAGTTAGTCTTTAAGGCGCCACATGTTTTTGTCTTTTTTTTTCTTTCTTTGGATTTTGCCTGATATACTCAAAAGTCAGTCCACTTGAGTTCCACGAGGCTTATTCCAGCATAAGTGCATACAGGATGCATTGCAGCCTAAAAGGGAACTTTTGCTATCCTTGCCCTCAATCAATCTCATTCTAGTCTTAGGTTAATCCACCCGCACCACTCTCAAGAATTACTCTTTCTCAATGGTTGCAATTCAGAGCTGCAACGCAGAGAGCCACTGTGCATTTTGAAAATAGCAAAAGTGAGCACGGAAATTGAATTTTAGGTATTTAAAAACAGATGGGTATGGGAAAGGGGCCAAGTACAGCTCAGGCATTCTAAGATGTAGAGCTCTCTGCCCTTTTAACAATTAAAGAGCAGGGTTACTCTTGACGGGACAAGAACTTGAGCCAAGGAAATGCTGTGGAGCAGCAGGCTTGGTGGCTTAGGCTGGTTGGAGAGAAGGAACCAACTGGTAAAGAAGGGAATGGCAAAGCAGGAGCAGGGAGTGGATTGTTCTTTGTAAATAGGAGGCAGGGCTGGGACGGACCCTTTTGGACCTGGCCAATTAGTGCTATGGTTTCCTACCCCTTCACCATCCCTATAGAATCACATGCCCAAGTGGATTCAGTGTTAAATTGAGGCAATCTGTAATCCATTCAACGTTCCTGGTGAATTTTATGAAACAACTATTTATTTAGAAATGGAACATTTTCTTCAGAAAGAACAAATACTGGAGAATTTCCTGCCCTACATTCCTGCTCCCCACTCATGGGGATTCCTGGACTTGGTTGTGTAAAACTATGGTCTTACATACTCTGGAGCGCCATTCATGGGCAGGTATCAGAGGCAGGTGAGGATCTGTCTCCAGAGCAGCTTGCAGTGTAAAATTTTACCCAAGGGAAATAAATGGGGAAAGGAGAAGGAACTATCAATTAGCAAAACAGTAGGACATGGGTTAGCTTTAACAGGGCATGGGAATGAGGGGTCTGTTCCAAATCTTTCACAGAAAATGTGAGTTTCCAGGAGGAATTTTAAGGCCTTCTGAATAAACCCATTTTTAAAAGTAAATTTCTGCTGAAAAAACTTATTTTAAACAGGTTACCAAGTATAACAAAGCAATTGAATTAGAAAAAGAACATCAGAAAGAGACTGAAAGGCGATTAGAGGAGTCGGAGCGCTTAGTCAAGGAGCAGATCCAGTTGCTAGATGACACCATAAGACATTACACGAAAATCATTCAAGAACAGCACACACAGGTTCGTCAAAATGGCCAATGTAAACAATTTGCATTTCCTGCTTTATTTAAATCTGTAATTATTAGAATTATAGCATGTATATTACCCACTTTAGCAGTCAAGGTATCGTATGGCAAAATTATGTAGCATATATGTATACAGTACTTTCCTATCAATATTTAGTCATTTCTTCCCTGTGCAGCATGCAGAGCTGATATCTGAAATGAAAAAGCAGAATGAGGCTGATATAAGGTGCAGAGAAGAAAAGATTGCCAAGCTGAAACAATACATTTCTGAGACTTTCGAAGAAAAATCCCGGTAAGAGATTAAAAAGTATGCAGCCTGAGAAAGAAACTGCCTCAGCTCAAGGGTGTATCTGCTCCTAGCTTTGCATATGCAGCATCGGTTTGAACATTTACAGTAGCTAAGCCGACCATTGTCCCAACTAGCCAGCTGCTTAGAGGGCCTCCGGTCATGTGCACGCTGACCTGAAAATAAGTCCCACTGTAAACAGTAAGATGTACTGTATTTTTTCCGTGTATAAGACGCCCCCATGTATAAGACATCCCCCCCACACTTTTCTAACCCAAAATTAAGAAATCTAAGTGGGGCTTAGCAAATGTAGGGTAAAAGGATAAAAGTGCTGCAGGATGGCTTTGATCCTTGTTTTCTCCCTTTGTGGAGAAATGGAGGGGGAAAGGGATCCAAGCAATTCCACGACTGCACAGTCATTTTGGAGAAAAGGAGGGGGAAAGGGATCAAAGCAATTCCACGACTGCACAGTCATTTTGATCCTTTTCCCCCTTATATAGCCACGGGATTGCTTTGATCCTTTCCACTTCTTTTTGCTAAGTCCCATGGGACTTAGCAA